GCCAGGTGTACAGGAATGTCATCTGTAGAGGGAAGAAGTTTGGAATGGCATTCCAGGGTCTTGAATGCTACCTCTGTGCCTAATTTATTGAATTTTTTTCATTCTAATTCTGGATGGAATATTTGGGTACATTTTTTCTGATATATAAAAATCAATCTCTCAGATCCCTGCACTTGATCCTAGTAAAGGCATGAGAAGTGGGGGAAGGGGAGGCAGACTATGCAAATAGCAGAAGCTTGGATGAGTAAGAAGTTGTCTATGGACTTGACCTGTTCATTTCTGGGAACATCCACGCAGTTGAGCCCTGTCTTCTGATGAGCACTTGAAGTACTAGCCTACCTTGAAAGAGTACCAGAAGCAGCAAAGCTTCTCTAACAAATCCCCACCCCCAGCCCCAGCCCCAAAGTTCTCTTCCACCTTGATAACTTAAACTCACTTACTGAGGAATTAGCTTCTTCTCCCTTTATTGAACTTATTTTTCTGTTTCCCTTCATTTTTCTTCATTTATGCTTCTACCTGCTCAAATACAGCAGGGCATTTCCCCCCTAAATTATCCTTCATGTTTATCTCTGAATTGTTTTTCTTCCCTTTGCTCAGATCATTCCACACTGCAGTATTCTATTTAAAGCAGAAAGGGTTTGCTGTGTAGTTAGTGTGAAGGACTCTAAGCTCAATTTGCATTGTAAGTGGTAGCTGCAAGCAGGTTCATCCAGCTAAGAGCAATGCAAACCACTTTAACCCAAGCTCTCCACTCTCTCTCCCTTCTCATATCTCCCCCCTCACCCAGCCCCACGATGTGGGCTATTAAAGTTACTGCCCTCTCCCACCTTCTTCTGTCTTTCCTTGACTTCTCAACTTAGCATCACCACGCATTTTCTGTTCCAGAGACTGTGCTAAGCTTTTATACATAGCATTTCCATATATCCAAACCCTGCCAAGTGTGCTGCTAACTGATGCAACTGAGGCTAGAGATGTTACTAGTTTGCAAGGTCATCTATTCAATGAACTTCTAATCTTCAAGCTGGAGACTGCTCAAAGACCCTGCACTTTCATTAGGAAATTCTGCAAGCTGCCTCGTTTTCCTTTAACTACCAGCAGGAGCTGATTACAATGGTTTTCTATGTGTGTGAGCCTGCTTTCTATCTGGAGTAGAATTGTTTGCAGAGATAATTTGGAAATGTGCACATGGGCAGTATATGAGGAAGGGTGGAGTCGGGATCCACAAACATGAAGTCACCCTGCTGGTTTGATCAATGTCGAGCACAAGGTTTCCTAACCAATGGCCATCTCTTGGATTTCTCTGATCTACGCTGGGTTTCTTTCTATATTTTTAGGCTTCTGCTAGAGCCAACTGAACACCTTTCTTCATTTCAGTAGTCTGGATTTTCTAGATTAATTTTACACTTCCAAATGGGGGTCACAGAAAAATGTGATAAATGGAATGTTTTAAAATAACTGCTCTGTTCTCAGTCTTCTTGTCTGTAAAATGGGAGTCACATTAGGACCTATACCACAAGAAAAAAATATTTGATACAGAGAAGGCACTCAGGATACTGCCTATCAGAAATCAGCCCCCAATCCTATTGGTATTCAGCTGTGTTTGTATGGTAAGCATGTACTCTGGCTTTAGTCTGTATGTTGAGGGTGCTATTGAGGGGAAGAGCTATTAGGGATAGGCAGAACCCACTAGTTTTGTTTTGACTGGTCCCTTAGTCAGGGAGCTTGTCTTTTATTTTTTTTGGTCTTTTTGAGACAGGGTCTCCCTGTAGCCCCAGCTGGCCTGGAACTTGCTATGCAGACTAGGCTGGCCCTGAACTCACAGAAATCCATCTGCCCTTGCCTCCAGAGGGAGTTAAAGGGATGGGCCACCATGCCCAGCTTAGTAATTTTCTTAATGTACTTGTTGGTTATAGTTTGGCAGCAAGTAAGTTCCATCCTCCCTCAGAGGCCTTAAGAAAAACTGTGCTGTTCACACATTGTTAAAGGAAAAATGAGTTGTTTCGTGTAGTTCCTTCCAATTGTTGATATGTACTGCCTTTCATCTTTCTATAAATATTAATTGGCTTTCTAAAGAAGTGATGCACATCTTCAAATACAGACATGGTCTCTGTGTTCATGGTGCTTCCCGTCTATCAGGGGAGACAGATATTAGGCAAACACTTTTGCAAGTCTACTTGCAGTTGTCACTTGCTCCTTGAAAGCATACACAAGGTGAAACATGGGTCTAATTCAGATTGGAGTCCAAGGGTAGCTTATGACCTAAAGGATGAGATCTGCATTAGCAAGAGCTGAAGGCATTTTAAATAAAAGGGGCAATACATACTAGAGCCCAGAGACTTAAAATAGCCTGAGAGACTCAAGGAATGGAAGGATGACTGTAGCTGGAGTGTGGGAGAGTGATTCAATATGAGACTGGAGTCTACAGGCATTTCAGAATACACTGAAGCCAAGAATGAACAGAGGAGTGAGTGAATGGATAGAAACATGATAAAGCATCTACACAGTATTAATGGCAAAACCCAGGTAGGTCCATGGAGAATCACTGTGAATTTTTTTTGTCCACTTTGCTGCCTGCTTGGAAATTTTCTTAGTAAAGTATTAGGTGAGAGGAGACTGAGGAGAGATTCAGGGGCCAGATCACACTGAACCCTAATGCTCAAAATGAGGTTGGACTTTATCCAAAGATGGATCGAAAGCTATTAAAGGATTTCTATAGAGAAGAAACATCAGTTTTGTTTTTCAAAAGCTCAGTCTGGCTGCTGTGGAGGGTGGGATCAGAAAGCTGAACAGGAAGGAAAGCTCAGAGGTGAGTAGGAGACCACAGTTGTACCCAGAAGGATAGCTGTAGTAGAAAAGGAGTCAGGTGGATTAGAGATGCAGTAAAGAAAAAGTGCAACAGACTTATGTGGCATGACGGTTTTGCTGTGGCTGGAGAAGACGGTGCTGAAGACAACTCTCAGAATTTTTCCATGAGATTGAGTACATGGGGTCCTGTCGGGAAACAGGAGATAGACTTTGGAAGTCCATTAGAAAGGTCTGTGACATATATTGTTTTACATTGAGACTCTCAAGTGAACAGCTAGATGTCTGTTTCTGATACTCAGAAGACCTGGACACAATACTTAAGCTAGAGATCAGCCAGCACCCGCATACTAAAATGACTTAAGGCCATGTGAGTAGATGAGATGCATAAGAGATGTTCCAGGTAGAATGAATTCAAGGCAATGAGTGAGCAATCACAAACTGATCTTAGTTGGGATCAAAGAGATGATAGCAAAAACTGTATCACCC